TCTTTGCACGTTTTTTCTCACTGAGCTTTTCGTGTGTGACAACTTCATTTTTTTTGTTTCTTCTTCTCTTCAAATCCATGCTGCGAATAATACGGGGTGTTTTATTCAAAAATGTTTTCACTTGATTTGCTCAAACGTACGTCCACTAAATTTGACAGAGCAAATGTTTCTGTTCTCAAAGCAGATTGCGCCTCGGCTGATTTCACAGAAACGGCTCCCTTTGAAGAAGAAACGGGAGTGGGGAAGACGTTGCTTTCCTTTCTCTCAGAGTAGCTCTGAAGACAGGTACTTCACAAGAAATATACAAAGACAGAGGGGGGGCTGACACTGCTTTGTTAGGGCTGGTAATGACAAGCTGAAAAGGAAAGGCCTCAAAGCCCAGAGGCAAAGGAAAGAAATGCAAAAGTGAGGATAATCAGAAAGGAGATTTATTCTACTTATTCCAGAACTGTCGCACCTTGCCTTTAACAGGAAAGCAACGCAGTTTTAATTAACGAGGTCAATCACTTTCCCCAGCTCTGACATGTAGTGAGATTGCCTTCAAAGTACCAAACAAGGTGGTAATTAAGAACTTTACATGTCAGAGTGCTGGGGAACTGGCAGCAACTTGGCTTCTAGAGAAAGCGCAGCTGATCCTGAGTCAAACACAAATGTAGAACTTACAGCTATAAAACTGTTGCAGCTTTTGATTTACGACCAGATTCCTCATGGGATATTCTGTCACCAAACATGAAACAGTCAAAACCCCTGCTGTATGTGAAGTGATCTCCGCCCTTTTTTGTTGTTGCAGCACAGCAGTGGATACAGCGCGGTTGTGCTTCAGAGATAGCTGGATGTTTCTGAGCCTGCAGAGCGGTAATGACAATGCTTTAAGGTAGCGGAGCCTCCAGCTCTCACGCTGCCTCGGGCTGCACATTGGCCATAAACATTCATAGCTGTGGACCAAGATCAGGAAATTCAAAATCATATTAAACATAATGTTTCCTGCACCGCAGTGGGGGCGAGTTGCTGTTAAAGAGCCGCTCAGAACTTCACTTCATCATATCATGAGAGCAGCTCATGGGGGGAGGGGGGGAGTAATCACACTGCTCATAATTGTTTGAGTTAAGTCTTTAATGGTCCATCCAGCAGCCAGATTATGGTTATCGTCAATGCAAAAGGGCAATTGCGTCACACCTTTCAATCATTTGGGACTTTCTTTCTTGTCATTTCGGGACCTTTATCAAGGATTTATTGCCAGTACACACACAACTATGATTGATGATTGGAAAAGGAATAGGTTGCGGGGGCTCAATACATGCAGTCAATACAACCTGTAGTGCCTGCGAGACACATTTGAGGGATTTACCACGCACAAATGGCAACCTTTCCTTCAGAGGTCCGAGACAACATGCAGGCCGAGGACTGCAAATGCCACAGACAGTATTGTTTATGAGGGATTATCTAGTCAAGCCTTCTGGCCAGAAAGATTGTGACCCCAATATGAGCACAGATACACATCAGCACCATAAAAGCTCTCAAAATGATTCCTGGAAGGCAGCACATGCATACAAGCCCTCCTTCACTCCGTCAATCCATGTTTAATCACTTCCACAGAAATTTCTGTCGGCCCGCTTGACATTTTTCTCGCATATTTCTTCCTCTCTACCCACCCAATTTCTCTGGTGGGTTTTTGAAGACTTAAGTTTTTTTTTCCTTCTTTTTGCTCTCTTTCTTACAAGGCAAATCCTGGGAGAGGTTGATGTGAAGACCAGGCAGAGCAGGGATGTGAAGAATATAAACACATTTTTTTTTATTGTCCAGAGGGAAAGGGAGAGGAGGGGGTGCAGGGGGTTGGGCGACGGGGTCTGTAAAAGAGACGAGGACCTTATCACAGCCCAGCAGCTCTGTAATTCGCCGCCATGATAAAGTGGCAGCACGGAAAACCTTACAAGGCTGGCACAATCCAAAGACGGATTAGGTTTTTCTGACATAAGCTTCCTGAAAAACTAATCAATCAGCCCATGCAGTATTATCAGAAGCGTGAGATTAAAGAGCTGCTCCTAATCCCCCCACTGTACATTTTATTACTCTTCCCAGTGTTAGTTGCCTTTAAATATACAATAAATAAATAATAAAAGCAAACCTAATTGAGCATGGGGAAGGGAGAAAAGGGTTAAAGAGCCCTGAGAGAGGGAATTTATGTAGAATTTGTGTTTTGTTATGAAGACAGGAATAAAACTGTTGTCCTTGCCGGAGCTTTTCCGACTTTGAATAGAGCCCCACTGTCTCACCAGCACTGCAGAGAAAAAACACAAGCGGGGGGAAAAAACTAAAACAAGGCAGATTCTTAAAAATATATTATTGGCCAAAACCAAACCCCTTCTTCTTCTAATGGTTTTCCACTTTCATTGATTGGTGAACAGATAAATAATCAAGCAGCTACGTGTTAATAAATGAAGACATAACTGTGCAAATGAAGGCTAAATCCTTTGGGAAATGACTTGTAATCCCTTAAATCAGTGCACATCAAAGTTGCAACGATTGAACTCCGAGCATGCAGCGGATCCAGAGGACGAGACATGTTCAGCTTACGAGGAACCAGCTAAGCTTTGTCTCTTTGATGCGTCACACCCTTCTAGGATGCTGGCCACGGCCCCTGCTCAGTGCGACCCTGGGCGGCGCTCACTGGAACGCAGGGGGGTAGATATGCATTTGACACCGCAGATTCTTCCTGGCACGGGCCACATGGACGCTTGGCATAACATTACCAAAGAGCTCCAACCCCGGCAATAAGATACAAAGGCGTAATAGACTTTGTCTCCTCGTTCTTAATCCGGAGCAAAAAAGAAGGCAGGGAGCAGGGCTCTCAAGTATGTTTTTATCTTCATCTACATTGTTCTGCTGTCATTGCACACAGGATAACTGCAGCAGATGTCACAGGGAAGAATGGATTCTCCCAGGATGGCTTTGACCCTCTTATTTGTCCCTGGGGTACAGCACAGATGCTAAGGCTGGGGTTACATTTTCACCATTTGATTCATGTTCTGGGTGTTTTTCTGTATGAAGAGGCCAGAGGGAAAAAAGATTGTTGTGTGAAGGGTTCTTGTTTTGGATGATGCAGCCACGAATATGCAACAGACTGTGAAGCCTCTAGTTAGAACAATGCATCCTTCAGTTTCAGTTGTCTGAGGCGCACCATGGGATGCCTTGGCTTGAAATCTAGCCATGAAACTTTGCCAAATGTCCCCAATCCTTACAGGAAACTATCCTATAAAGCAAATGCTAAGAAGGTTTAGCAGGTAAGGAAGTTTGGTGCATATGTAATGCGTTTATCCTGGTATTTAAACATGTTCTACTCTCTTTGAAGGTGTGGGAATATTGATAACGGCCAATTTGTCCCCAGTCAGACAGTGGTGGGTCTTCTGGGAGGGGAGCTGCTGAGGCATATGAAGAGAACCTCTCCAGGGAGGCAGCCTGTCTCCCTCTCTGGAGGCAGAGCTCCCAAAAGGCAAATGGCTGATTACAACAGCACTCTGGCGCTGCATCGGCACAGTTCAGGGCTATCTTTAAAGAAGCCCTCTTTGACGATAGCAAAGATGTGAAGAACGCCTTCAATGAAATGGCATTTTCTGCTCAGGTCTGATCACGGCAAGAGTCCGTGGAGCAAAGGATGATCATGATAAAGCCTACACACTTTATTCAGCTGCCTTTAGGATAAGACCTTCATATTTCCCTAAGGCTTTTGATCCTTTTGGAGAGTTTATTCCTGCAATAATAACAGAATTAGACTACAGAAAGAGTCTGTGAAGGAGCTTAAAGGCAATCAATCTTTGGTAAACACTAATAAGGTCGCACAAATTCACAGGGACTTTTGATTTTATCACATTGTAGAATACCTAAAGGAGGAACAGCGCAGGCTTTGAAAACATGTGGGTTCTCCCATTTTTACTTAAATTCTAGGTTGTCATTTTATTATTGTTTGTATTCTGGCGTCAATTTTAGTACGGCTCAAGACATTTCACGGGTGTCCAGGGTTCAACACAGAGGTGGAACTTTGTTCAAGCCTGAAGGCAAAATAAATGAAAATGATTTGCCAACCACAAACTTTTATGCAATAAAGCTCCATAAATGAATTGGCAGTTGGTTTTGTTGAGTCATAAGCCAAATAACAGAGGTAAACGAATAACATAATAAATATACAACTCTCAATGGTAACAAAAAATAAAAACTCTGCAAGCAGACATGTTAATAAATGTTATTTCATTTTCAGTGAAAAGTTAATTGATTTTAAAACTACATTACCTCCACGTCTCAATTAAGAATACTGCAGAATGATGACATTAAGCTCACATTAACCTGCAATGTGAATGTTTTTTACAAATAGACATGAATTTATGTTTTCTATATTTAAATGTTGCCTTAGTACAAATTCCCACTAAGCCAAAGTTCATTCAGATGCTATTAGGCAAATTAACTGCCTATGGTATAACAGTATGAAAAAGTCTTGAAAATGAAATAAATCAATTTGAATCCAGTAGTTCAGAAACTCATTTGTGTTTCTGAAATATTTGTAATATTTGCTACAGAAACTATTATATCCTTTTAATTGTAGAGGTAATGAATATGTTATTAAAATATGGTTTTAGGTAAATGTATTCAATAAATTCATCCAACACAAAACAAGCCTATGAATGAGCAGTTCATGTCAGACAACACATTTTCTGCTGATGGCAGAATGACCATGAATTTATTGAAATAAATATTACATTGCATGAGCTATGTAAAGCATATCTATAGTTACTTACAATTAAAACAAAATATACACCGCATACATGGAAATATGTCTACATATATATAAACCTGAGAGTGAGACGAACAAATACCTAGCAGCTTTATAAAATAATGATTAAAAAATCTGCACAAAGCTAATTATTGTCTCTAACTTTCTCTTTATAACCTTCTTAGTCACAGACGTCTACATACTCTGTGTATTGTCATTCAGTAATCTCAAAGCTCACCTGGTGCAGGAGGAACAGAAACAGGAATGTTTGCAGAGCTCTCATCTTCGGTGACTTCTCGACTTATTCAAAATGAGCGGCGCTTAAATCCTCACTGGGAGATTTGGAGAGGGGCAGACGCACATGCCGTTGTAGCATTGCTGTGATCACCTGCGAGAAAAGTGACAAAAATGCACGACGTGAATTCAATTATAACCCAAATATTAAAATGTGGGATGACCTCAAACATTGTTGAATCTTATCTTTAAGATAAAAAAGTTTTCCTTACCGTTTTTTTCTGAAATGCAATACCTCACTTAATTGTGTAAGGCGGTTGCAATCATCCTTGTTCAATACACTGTCTGGAAAGAGTCTTAAAATCCTCTAAAACGTCTCCGTCTGTTGGGATGTTCAGTGAGTTTCGCTTTAGCAGCTGGGACACTTGGATTTCTCTGCAAACAACGGCTTCATTCAGTAGACTCCTCTAAGTTGCGAATCGAGCCCAAACCGAAATAAACCGAGGACTATGTTTCCTCCTACTCCCGAGTAATGTTAATACATTGACGAGGTGCGCGGTAAAGTAAAGCCAAGTGAGCCCGGATCCGGGTGTCAGGACTGCAGTCAGTCCGGCAGCCGTGCGCTCTCTTCAGCTCGACTTGATTTCAGTGCGCAAAATCCTGCGCTGCGCGTCTGGAGACTCCAAGGTCGGCGCGCATCCGTGCAGAGAGTCAGACCAAAGACCTACCTCTGAAGTCTCACTCCCTCCGTCTGTGAGACAAGTAAGAGGCTTGATGTCACTGTTATCAGCTTTTGTTCAGCACGCATCCCCATTTAGTTTTAACCCTTTAAACGTGTAATCTCGCTTTAAAAATGAATAGTTTTCACTGTGTCATAGTGTTTTAGTGATGAGTTACTAGATCAGAGTAAACGTTACCATGATTGCCTTGCACACTGTGAGATGTTTCTTATGGTCTACTATGCTTACACAACTTTTATTTGTTGCTACACATTAATGAATTCAAGGGCTGTTTCAATCATGGCACTAAAAAACACGACGGTGAGCGATCTTTATACATTTGAGAACTGGCTGACACAGCACTTCTGACCACACAGTGCCGACTGCAAAAGGTCAAATTGTGCTGATGGCTGTTCAAACCAGGCAATAACATTTTCTACCGTGGACGAGACTGAGTGTAGGGATTAATGTGACTCTGGCACCATCATGTGGTTGCAGCCAAACACCTCATTTTACAAAGAGGACCTCAAATTACAAATTGTTCGCAGTAGGCTTGTGATTAACTATTGTCATCATCCGTTAAACCGCCAATTGTTTTTCTTGATTAATCGTTTGGTCTATAAAATGTCATAACATGGTGAATATGGAGAACAATGTCCAGTTTTTCAAAGATCAAGGTTATAAGTTTGTTTTGCACGACTAAAGGAAGTACATTTAATGTGAAATAAAACAGATACTACAAATAAGTCTCTATATGAAAGCAGCATTTTCAATTATTAAAATAGTTGGCGACTTTGTTTATTTCAATCGACTTATCCTTGCAGATGAAGTGTACAGATAAACGTGAGGTCATATTTAAACCTCTATAGGTAACATCCTGCAAATCTATTTTATAAAATCGGCTGCTTGTACTCAATATAAACCCTCTTCATGTTTAAACGTTAGTGGCTGTGTGACAAAAGTCCAGTGATTAAAGACTTGCGTTACAGGCACTGAGGCACTGCAGGCTAAATATAAACGTGAGACAATGAAACACAAGAAGAGCCGTTCAGAACAAAATGTTGCTGATTGCAGCACTGAGGCAGTATCAATTCAGCGTAAAGGGATCTCCTTACTATTTATTATTTATTTTCTACTAAATGCCACAATAGACCTTTGATTTCATGCAGTGCCTGCCATCCTTTCTGTGGGAGTAGTAGATGGGTGCAACTAAAACATCATCAACATTTCAAGTCTTTCATTTCAATTGCACATATTTCAACGTTTCAGTACCAAATCAATATTAAAGGGGCCCTATTGCTTCCTGTATCCTGTATATTCCTGTAATGGTCTGCACATTTTTTCCCTCCAAAGATCCCTCCAGAGGGAGTTTCGAAATAATTTCATGTTGCCTCTCCCATGTCTATTATCTAAGGTTTGTCATGCTATCTTTCCGTCCCATTCATTCGTTTTATGACAGTCCAATAAGTCATTTTCTGACCCTGTATACTTGGGGTATGTTATACATAATGAGGACAATAAATACATTACATATTCATTGTAATAAAGACACTGGGTCATTTTGCAGCCTGGATTCTTTATATAAAATGTAATCTAGTGAAACGTGTTACTTACAGTATTTACCATAAAATTACATTTGGCAGTGCGATCTTAAATTGGTAATTTATAAATGATAAAGTTATATAAAGTCAAAGTGGATAATTTCTGTAGAATGACCATTGTGCCGATTAGTTATGTTCCAATCCAGAAACCAACACCTTGTCAGCGGTTAGAGCCTCGCCCACTTTTAATCTGACATGTTTGAGTAATCGCGGTGGAAGAAAGAAAGTGAGGGAGTGCACACAGTTTTCTGTGTACACAGCCCTACTTTTCAATTTGTTTTTACAAAGCACAACAATAAAGGCAAAGCCATCTCTAACCTGCAAACACTATAGTCTTACACATTGGCATGCATATGACGTGTGTAAATACTTTTCACACACAGGTAGGAGCACACAGGATTATAACTGTCACCGGGTGGAATAGAACTGACCTCTGACCACAGATATCAGCCTGCCATTATTTTTCATGAACTGGATTTCACCTCTGTAATGATGAATGTGTGGTAATTTGATAGGATTATGTAACTGATTCATTCCCACAATGGTTGTCACGCTACGCCTTTGCACACAGATGTGTCACTGTTTTGTAGGATTGGTCCACTTAGCTCTAAGTGATATTAACATAGAGCTAGCTAGTTAGCAGCAAGCTAGTTGGTGGAGAGTTGGTGCTTACAGTTTTACTGAAATGAAACAGTCTTACACAGGAATTTCCCTTGGATTTATGATGAATAAAATAACCATGTGAATAACACATCAATCTACTGTTTTAAAGGCTTTGGCACCACCATCTGGTTGTACAGTACAATCACCTCGTGATTCGAAGCAACATTAAAGCTACATTTGCACAACAGTTGCTCATGTAAGGCTCTTTTAGTACATCTTCAAAGTCAGATGTTTTGTTTGTTTGGATATTTCATTAAATGAAATTGTGAATGAATACGGAACTGTGACAAATTGCTCAAAATATGGAAATAACTGAAAAAAAGACAAATTCCTAAAAACAGTTTGCCTTGATCTGCAATTAATTATGTTTTTATTTGGCTGTGCAACCAGAGTTAAATGATATATATCTTCTTATTTTTCAAAGTGCCACATTTGTCACGATTGCTCCTTTTCTAGCCCGATTTTTTGCCCGATTTTAAGCTTTTATGTTCTAATGTCATTTATGATGAGCTTTGTTCAAGAACATCCTATCTATGACTTTTGTGTTGTTGGGAGCTGAACATGTTACTAGATTGAATTATAAATTACTGGAATTCTGGTTTTCAATACGTTTTTTTAGTTTAATGGAAAGAAATTCTTAAACTATAATGAGTGATGCACTATTGTAACCTTCCATTTAAGAATGGACATAAACCTGTACATACAAAATGCTTGTAAGTTTTCACTGAACGAACGCAGGAATATAAAAAACTAAAACTGACAAACTGATCCTGGAATCATTACCAGAGCACGCGATAACACCCTCCTGTTATCAGCTGCAGAGTCAGAAGAACAAAGTTGCAGGGTTGGCCATACTGGTGAGGTCGTGCAGGGACATAAACACCTCATACACACAGGTGGCCAGAGAGTTTACAGATGTAATTTAACTCTTCAACATTTTTGTGTCAGGAAAGTAGCCTCTTTCATATTGTATAGAACATGTGTTTTTCCATGCAAGACAAGTTACTCCTGTTGTTACTTTGTAGAAACAGAACTTAGTAAAGATGAAAACTGGAATCCAGACATGTTGTGAGCATCCACCATTTGCAACATTTATGAAACACTCTCAACATTCCTGTCAAAAAAAGTGTTGGAGCTAAAGCTAATACATTCTCTACTTGAAATGGCCCTAGCCTGGCAGAAAGATGCAGAGACGATAATTCTGCTGGGAGAAAAAATAGATCCTCTGTAGACTTTCCCTAGGCAGACATACTCAGAAATGAAGGAATTTAGTGGGTGGTTGCAGTGGCGACTGGTCATTAGGGGCAGGTGGGGCACAGCCCCACCTAGTGTCAGCAGAAAGTATTACAAATAATGATTACAAAAATGCAAAAAAATAAATAAAAAAATATATAAAATATATTTTAAGATCATGTTTAATCATCTGATTCGTCTGTACATTGCTGTTTTAGTCTGTGTTCTTCTAATTAGTGTGTCTACAGTCACAGTGTGTGCCTATTGAGCTGTTTAGAGCCATGTGGGACAAAACCTGATTATGCCCCTTCCTCTCGCTGTGAAGTGAACGTTGACTGTAAAAACTACACTGCGCATGCTCAGAGTATTTTGTAATGAAATGTGTGTGGCAAAAAAATAATGACCAGAGGGGCATGGAGCTACCATACCCACCATACGTCATCTCAAATCATTCAGAGCTGATTGGCTGTAAGTACGTGTGCCGCGAAAAGTGTGCTGTGTGAAGAGGAGACGAGAGAGCTGCAGTGGCGCGTCCTAAAACCAGGAAGTAAGCACAAAAAAGCAATGAGATTTCTCCAGAGGATTTTAGAAAATAGCTCGAAATAAGATCTGTGGGAAACGTACCTGTTAGATAAATGCACGTTTTGATTAGCCGGATAACATCCACATGTCTACCCTACTTATATAATTTTTTTATCATAAATCTATGGATTAGATTTATGATAGACTTTTGAAACTACAAGAACATAAGGAGGACTTTTACAAAAAAGTAATAGAAATGTTTGTCCAGAAGGATAGGCAAATGGACTTCATCTTCAAGTCAAGGTAAGACCGCCATTTTATTGAAAATGGGATCTTACTAAGAGAGAACAATTCAATATTTAAATGATAAAATGACATTTTTTGGGTATCCTTTTGTTGAACTGTCTGTTTAAAATTAATCGAAGCATCAGACAAAAAAAGCTTTTGAAAATAATATTATATTTTGGTTTAGGTCAAAATATAATATTTGTAAACCTGAAGAGTCAGTGCCAGTGCCTCACCAGCCATGAACCTCACTGCACGTCACTGCAGAAGCTTATATATAGACATCTAAGTTTTTTGTGCCCCACCACTTTTGTACATATAAAAACGCCACTGGGTGGTTGGTGTTGGCACAACAACTCTAACCCTAAACCAGACAGAAATGGAGGCACCACTAAAGGCCAGGAAGCATGCACTCAGCTTGATATACCAGCATATCATGTTTGTGAAACCAATGGCTCAAGACTTTTTCATTAAGCTACAATTAAAGATTAGGGAGCACTTTACAACATGTCAAGATAATTGAACAGCTTTGCCAAGTATTTGCCTTAGGAGTTCATTTTGAAAAGTTAAGTGAGTTGAAAAACGAGTTCCTTCTGCCACCACATGGCCAACAAAGTCCGACACGAGAGGTAAATAATGATATAGGACATAAATATATATTTTTTCCATCCATTGTGGGGGAAAATTGTAGGATTGTACAGGTTTAGTCGTTGGTCATTAATTAAACTACAGAGATATCAATTTATGTCCAGAGTTGGGTGTAACGCGTTACTGTAATAATATTACTTTTGTCGGTAACGGAGTAGTGTAACGCGTTACTTTTATAATTCAGTAATCACACTACAGTTACTAACATTGCCCCGACACGCGTTACTTCGTTACTTTTATAAAATCAGTCATAATCACACTGACAGACAAGAGGGGTTTCCGCCGCAGGTTTATATGTACGTAATCTGCGCGACTTGCACGTCCACATCTCCGCGTGCAGTGATGCATAAACATGGCTGAGTCAGCGATAACTTTCGAGGGGTGGAGGTATGCCCATTATTTTGAGTTCGTCCGAAGAATAGACAGGAATGTGACGGTGAGGTGCAAACTGTGTCCAGGCCAGAAGCTGTTATCCACTGCTGCAAACACCACGTCAAACCTCAACAAACACCTGCAAAGAACACATGCTAAGGTGAAGCTAATAGCTAAGGACCCCCGAACCCAGAGTGAGGATGTTGTGAGTGCGCCGCCGCAAGAATTTGGAGGACCGGTAACCAAAGCAGAGATGGACAGGCTTGTAGCATCCTTCATAGTAGAGGTAATGTTGCCCATTTGCACAGTGGAATCACCATCGCATCGTTCAGAGATATACTGCGCAAAATACAGATAGCAGGAGACAGAGGACAGCCATGGTCAGAGCTATCTGGATCAGTCTTATGCGACAATGGAAACTGAACTAAAGAGAACATTTGAAACTTTAGCAGTCTGCGTGATCTGCCTGCAGGGAAGGGCTGGCCGGCCCTGCGAGTAAAGTAACGAGTAAAGTAACGAGTTACTTTATGTAGAGAGTAACGAAGTAGTGTAATATATTACTTTTTTTTAAAGTAATATGTAATATGTAATATATTACTTTTTTTTAGTAACGACCCCATCTCTGCTTATGTCACAGAGTTCAGGTCTGCACAGAAGGTGCCAAAACCTGAGTGACAGGAGAGAATACAGGTCAGGGGTTGAGTGTGCTTCTACAGGTTGTGAAACTCCAGCTCCCTCCCTCAGACTCCTCATGTCCTCTCACACAGTTTTTAAATTGTGCAACAGTCTAATTTTCTCCTCCAATGAGAATGCTCTGGGTTGTCTCATTTGTGGTCTTTCTTTAAAAGTTGCTAATAGAAACTGGGCGCTTTGTTCCTGGACAAAAGCCTGGTTTAGCCGGTGATGTGTGGCCATGAATATTAATGAGTTGTTGGTGGTTGGTTTCAGAAAGTTAAATAAATTGCTCGACCATTGGAAATTACTTCAAATGATACTTACACTGAACAAGTTACATTTGCATTGTAGCTCCAAATTATTCCAAAGTAAAGCATTTAAACAACGAGAACAGTTACATTTCTTAAACTGAGTGTAGTAATGCTTATATCATCATTTTCTAAAATGCTAGTTTTCCCTAACAAGCAATAGACTAGCTTTTAAGATTAATCTATCTTGGGAAAGAACATTTTAAAACATTATCAGTGTGATATAGACTCTTATGGCACTACTTCTATTATATTTGATTGTATTTACTTGCACTATTTTATCTGTTTTATTGTGTTGCACTGTTGCAGGAGCCTGTGACCTAAGATTTTCATCGACATAACTACACTGTAGCTATGTACGAATGACAATAAAAGCCTTGAATCTTGAAAATAGCAATTTCAATTTTCGTGTTTTTTATTTAGCCGGCTATTTTTGGATGTATCCTAAGAGTAAGTATTTTATAATAGGCGGTCTTTCAACTAAAACTAAAGAAGCAAGCGTGTTGCCCTGATATGTAGGAGTTCACTCTGTGTTGAAATGAAAAAGCGATATGAACAGCGACAGCACAATCCAGGATAAGATAATCTGGTGGGTTGTTTGTCTGATACATCAATGAAAATCATGTTACTTACTCCTTCAAGTCTTCTAATAATTATTGTTTTTTAAAATGATTTGAATAAGCTAATAACTCGATCAACCAGTGCTACTCTTATAAACTGCTTCCTAAAGCAAAGCAAGTTGTAACCTTGGGTAGAATTCCTAGAATCTGAAGAGGAAGGCGTTGGTTTCCTATTTCACCTGGCTTTGCACGCCATCTGTCTTTTTTACAATGGCTGTAGGTACACATGTGCGTGTGAATAGAGAGAGTGAAAAAAAAAGGGAATATGCAACAGCCTGTTTAGCACGCATGTGTATTTTCTTTTCGGGGGGAGGAGAGAAGGAGCAGCCTAAGTAAACAGAGGACTTTGCACCAATCAGCAGGCAAACATGCAAAGCCACCGTGACTTGCAAGTCTTGATGACCGTTAAAATCCAGAACAACCAAAACCTACAATTAGCATATGCATAATATAATGAATAATCTATGTTGCACTACTGCTATCTTAAAAGACGCTAAAGACATGACATACTTCACTGGAAAAACATACCGTTTTTTATAATGATTAAACTGCAATACTTCACATACTACAGTATCAAAACTGAAAAGGAATGTGCAGTATAAAAGAGGAAAGTTGCAAAATGTCACTTGTAAGTCTGTTGCACACACCAGGAAAGGAAAGACGTGATCATAAGTAAAGTCCCATAAGAGAATGATTAAATGGATACAAAATGTTCTCCACATATTCCACTGGGAATCTCATCTTGCTCTGTCTTCCTGTGGTTATGCAATACTCTTCCTGCAAAATCACCCTGAACTTCCTGCGGAATTTTAAACACACACATACAAAGTCACTCCCACTTGCACACACATAAAGCTGCCTCCTAAACACAGCTACCACTAGCTCTTGGACAGAGCCATTTTGCACTAGAGAGAAGAAGCAATGAGCCGCGGGGTGTGGTTTCCTGCACTTGGGCTGCTGGCCTGGCTGTGCTGCCTCAGTCTGGGGCCCGTGGAGGGGGGGAAGGTGCTGGTTGTGCCTGTGGATGGGAGCCACTGGCTCAGCATGAAAATACTGGTGAAGGAGCTCAGCGAGAGGGGACATGAAATCTTGGCCCTGGTGCCAGAAACCAGTCTGTTGATCCATGGCTCAGAGAGCTTCAAGACAGAGGTCTACCCTGTCCCCTTTACCCAAGAAGAACTGGACGGAAATTTCAAAGAGCTGAAGGATGGAGTGTTCCTCAAGCCGCCGAAAGTCACAGATTTGTTTATCAACTTGCAGCGTTTGGTAAACTTCACAACAGTTCAGGTGACAGCCTGCGAGAGTTTGCTGAACAACCAGCCTCTAATGGGTCGACTGAGGGAAGGGGGCTTCGATGTTTTGCTAACAGACCCCTTCCTTCCCTGCGGCTCTGTCCTGGCTCATATCTTTAACATCCCAGCAGTTTATTTCCTGCGGGGACTTCCATGTGAGATGGATCTAAAAGCTAACCAGGTCCCCTCTCCTCGTTCTTACATTCCTGTGGCTTTCTCTGGTAACACGGACATCATGACATTCCCACAGAGAGTCAAAAACATGCTGATGTCTTTTCTGGAGTCCTACATGTGCAGAACTATCTATGCACACTTTGACGATCTGGCCCGCAAGTACATAGGAGACGACATGACCTACAGTAAACTTCTCAGTAATGGTGCAATCTGGCTTCTCAGATACGACTTTACTTTTGAGTGGCCCAGACCGCTCTTGCCGAACATGGTTTTTATTGGCGGTATCAATTGTGGAAAGAAGTCTCCTCTGCCTGCGGTGAGTATTCAAATAATGTATCTCCGTGGAAACAAGCAACCGTTACATCTGGAATCACTCCAGGCAAATTGCATACTGGTGTTGAGTCAGACTGAAGCAAAGCCCTTTAAAGTTGATGTAATGAAGTCTATACCATAAACCAGGAAAAAACATGGCAATAGTTTTATATATAAACAATTAATGAAAAGACAATGTAAAATATCAAAGGGGTCACTCATAGTGAAGAACCTATAGACAATGATTACTAAAGTGCTCTGTGCCTACCTAATCTGCAAATGGATAACTTTGTGCCATGTTAGCCAAAATAAGTAACTCAGGAAGCATTTTTGATTAGAGAATTGATTACGCTTTAAATCTTAGTTGGATATCTGTGTCAATGACTTAAAGAAATAATATTTTACTTTCTTATCTTGCAGTTTGGCTTAACCATTAAGTAACCTTTGTGACTCAAATTTTTGGAGTCACAAAGTGTTTCAAGTGTCTCAAGTGTTAAATATCCTCTTCAGGATATTTAACACTTGAGTAAAGACATGCACTAAGTATTACAAAAAACATAGATTTCGGGGACTTGCAAAATATTTCAAAACTATAATAGATTGCCTGTAGTACAAGACAGTACTTTGACCTTTGATGGGAATCTGGAGATAAATATGTTCCAGCAGCAAAACACAAGTACTTAAATGATTGCTAAGATTGTTGTGTCTGTTAATCAGGATTAACTAACAATGCACTCACAGCATTGTGAAATAACAGGTTTTTCTGCAGTGTGTGAGATTTGAACAAGCGGATTTGTTGAATATGGCCAGTTTAATCTCTGAAAAGAAGTAAGGGGCCCTGTTGTGTTAACAGTAATCAAATGCTCTACTGGGGCAAAGGGTTTGTTGACATAGGACATTGTTTTCTATTGCTGAATGTTGATCAAATTAATTCCTTTCAATATATCAGTAAATGGGGCGAAGCCTGCGAGCTAGTTCAGGCAGTCAACTCGAGCACCAATCATACATTAACACGTGACGCACCTCGTCCCTCTTACAACCAAACCAACACATTCTCCTAAACATGCCGCTCTATTTAAGCCAGGTCTTCCTGCCTCTGCCCCGCTATGCTGCTGCTGCCACTGCTGTGTTCACTTGCTATTGCTGCGTTCATGTTCCTGCTGCTGTGTTTCATGTTGCTGCTGCTCGCCTGCCCCACCACCACCCCAGCTCCACCCCAGCTTCCACCTGTAGGCTCGGGGGATAGTTATCTAATCATCACTCAATGTTCTTTGTAAATCTGTGGAGTGATGAGGCCCGAGCCTAGACGCCAAACTCAAACTATATGCTGCTTATAATAAACATATTAAGAAACACGTGAGTTTTAATGACTGCACTCAACAATAAAAAGCTGCTGAACTTTGGTCATTGTCCATTTGACCATCCGTGCACCCTACCCTGTTTTATCTTTCAAACTAATTGTTGTGTCTTTTTAACCTTCCTACAGGACTTGCAGGAGTTCGTGGATGGATCAGGAGATGACGGATTTATCGTCTTCACCCTGGGATCAATGGTGGCCAATATGCCAATGGAGAAGGCAAAACAGTTTGTTGATGCATTCAGGCAAATTCCTCAAAGGGTAAAAAAAACAGATAAATCACTTTATTAAGATGAAATGCAATCAGTGTATGCAAAAACAACTACTTTTCTTAGACTGCTATTTAAATAAGACACACATCTCTAATCACTGCTTGAATTTACATTTAAGGCGGAGATTTTCACACTATATGCTCAAGCCCTTATCAGTTTGACGCATAGCACTTTGTTCCTTGCCTTGCATTGTTGTTAACATGGCAAACTTTACTGCATTACGTGAACAATTTGCATGTGTTAACATTCTTTAAATTAAGAGTTATTGTTTGTATTTCAGGTTGTGTGGAGATACACTGGAGACCTACCTAAAGATTTACCAAAGAACGTGAGACTCATGAAGTGGTTACCTCAGAATGATCTCCTAGGTGTGTTTTAATCCAAGATTTGCTACCAATCAAATAGTTTTGTGGTGGCCTAGAGACCTTTAAGTGTGTTTTTTTCTGCTTCTCAGCCCATCCCAAAGTGAGAGCCTTCATCACACATGGAGGTACCCACGGTATCTATGAGGGTATCTGCCATGCTGTACCCATGTTGATGTTTCCACTGTTTGGGGACCAGGGGGACAACGTGCACCGCATGGTGGCCCGCGGTGTCGCAGTTAAACTTGGAATTTACGATGTGACGACTGAAAGCCTATTAGCTGGACTAAATACAATCATCCATGACAAAAGGTAAGTGTCAAATTAAACTTTATTGAATAATAAATTCACTATTGAGTGCTGTGCACCTGCACCAGATATACAAAGGATATATCCATTAAACTAAAACTATAAAAACACTACTAGATGACTAAAACTCCACAGGAAAACTTTTATTATGAGTAAGTCAAACACATGCGTGGGCTCTCATACATTGAAAACAAATGAAAATGTATTGAAATGTATAACTTTTTCTTGCAGAACTACCATTGCAAATGCAGCTTCAGAAATACCTCTTTAAAATAATGACTCTTGTTTATCTGCAATATCTTTGGCATTTGCATCTTGTTTTATAGATTTACATTGCAAACAGGGTCAAGTAGTTTGTGAAGATATATGATTGGACTTCTGATAAAACTGAGATTATCATATTAGCTTGTTTTAAAAAAAAAAAACATTACTTCCCCCCCCCCCCCCCCCCCAGTTACAAGGAGAACATAGTGAGGCTGTCTGAGATTCATCTGGACCGTCCTGTCCCGCCTCTGGACCTGGCTGTTTTCTGGACTGAGTTTGTCATTAGGCACAAAGGAGCCGAACACCTCCGGGTCGCTGCACACGACTTAAACTGGATTCAGTACCATAGCCTGGATGTCATCGGCATTTTAATCTTAATTATAATCACTTTTCTGTGGATGACACTGAAAGGCTGTTTATTCTGCACCCGCAAGTGTTGCGGAAGGGGGACTCCAAAGAAAAAGAAAGAGTAGTGTTTATAACAGTCACTACGTTTTATAAGCTCTGTAATGAAGTCGATAACGTATGTTGAAACACTGCAATGATTTTTATACTGGTGTGTGTGAGTGTGTATTGGTGTGTGTGTGTGTGTGTGTATAATATGTCTGTTTGCTTAAAATAAAATCTGTTCAAGTGCCATTACTACGTTGTCTGTAATGCATGTGAAACATGCTACTTGCTGTGATTGATTGAAGCCAAGATCTGAAAAGCCAACCTAAGAACAAATAAAAACATTTTTTTAAACTTGTATGAATTTATTTGTGCCAAACTACAAAATACATTGTTGTACCTTATTTAGAAACCTATTAAATTCAGGTTTCTCCACAGGACTCCTTTTTGTGCAGTACTGTTGTTTTAAGGAAAATTAATTGTACTTCCTTTAATTGAGTTGACTGTAATCATTTGCGGAGAGTAGCATATAGTTGTATTCTTATCAGATTCTTATACTGTTTAGCTGAGTTAGTGCAAGTTGGCAAGCTAACAACAAGTGCAGTATAATTGACTTTTGAAGTATAATTCAACAGCATACTTTCCTTTCTCTTCAACCTTTTCTTCTCCATTTCAGCACCTTGTGTAACTATACGAGCTAGGCATACAATACATTGTAATGACTGCAAGCAAGCATTCATTTTCAGGAATGCAGAAGCTGTTATTAGGAAACATATGGCTGTTGGCTCTTGTTTACAAAGCGATACTAGCGTTTGAACTTGTAACCTTTCAGTCAGAGCTTCAGGCAGCGGTTATCACCTGAGGCATCACGTAACAGTCAATTACTAGTACTGACTCCACCTTCGTGAATCTAACAACAAAAGAGCTGGTTAAGACATTTCGGTAACCACAACCCTAACGTGAGCACAATATTCAGCTCAGTCCACAAATGCAAAAAGAGTGTCATCTCTTATTATACCTGGATTGGGTTGGATTTGATTAAATGAAGGCTCCATTGGAGTAATTGGTGTTGGTGCTGATCTCCCCTCAAAAGTACTACACCATGCAGATACAGAAAGAAATGTACACTAAAATGTGTATTGTCATTTCAGGAAAGAACACTTCTGAGTGGAAGTCAACTTTGGTATTAATAGCACTAGTGGAGCAAAATGTGTCAACTTTTAGAGTCTAATTTTAAAATAGTGTATGTCCTGAATATTGAGGTAGAACAAAGGACCTTGTGTCATTTTTGGTGAATTACCCATACCGTACATACAATATTTGCCTTCTAATTGTTTAATCGAAAGCAAACTGCATACCACACCTTTCACTATTGTCACTTTCAGTTTTAACATCTTTGGTGCTTATTTTTTACTGTTGAAAAAGAGCTTAGGACAAAAAGAGAGCTCAAAGGGCTGCCATAGTCTATTGCGGTATAACCACCTTTAAGTGGCTGCATATTTTGTTGTGCAGCGTATCCTCTCTGCAAAGCATGCAGAAGTTAGGGTCATGGTTGTGCAAACCACATCGGTCTAGTATTGGCATGTCTTCCAATTATTAGGGAAGCTGTTTATAAGTGTAAACTTCTGCAAATAATTTACATTATAAAGACTGCACAGATGGCAACTGAAAAGACTGTATTCAGTTTGTAAGTTGCTGTATAGCAAGCTAGATTTTCTCACCTCGGTAAACATTTGTATAAAGAACATTTTCCCTTTTCATAATTTCACTGAGCTCCATTTACTACAATACTACAATATACCAAGTGTAATTTATTTGGCATTCAAATATGATTTTCAGCTCAATGACTTACAGCAAAACCAAATTCAGTTGTACAACATATCCTGTTGTTTTCCACATATTAAAATCTGATGGAACGTGGACTGACTGCCTTAGCTGCCTGCCTGCTCTCATCAGTGGTCCAATTTAACACTTTATGTGTGTACAGTGTATATTGTTGTAACACAAATCTTCAAATCTAATCAGGGTAATTTGATAGGGCCACTTGCCTTATAACCCCACAAATCTGTTTTCCGTGGCAGTGACGAAAGTGTAATATTTTATTCTGGTCCAAAATGACATAATACTGGAAACATTAAAGCCTGCTGCAGCTCCACCTATTCAAATAACTTGTGGGAGGGCATTGACTGTAACTTCCCTTCCATAAATAAAAACAGCAAGATGTCTAGGTTAAAAGAGTTTTTTGTCACCTGTTTAATAACACGTCCTACACCATGCCAGTTTCAAAGTATCAAATGACATGCCTATCAAGGGATGATCAAACAACATTCTTTCTTGATTTGATTTTCTACACAAGATCAAGTGTGTAGCCAAGTGTTTCATTTTTTGTTGATAAAAGGTTCAACAATTAAAATAAATGTTATTTGCTTTTAATCTACCCCAAGAAATCCTACCAATGTCCAGCAATCCACAATATTTCAGATAATGTATCTTTGCAAATATGCAGCTAGCAGAATAATATTTTTTATTTATAGCAACTCATAACACTGGAATTACTAATTGTTCTTGAGCTTTAGCATGTAATTCTAACATAGGGTTAGGGTTAGGAGCACAGTGGGCATGTTGGTGACTCTTCCATGCCCCATGTGTGAAGGTTCGATGGGCTTGGGAACACATCGTACACTGCCTGAACACGAAACCTGATGCGATGTGGCTCTGCTTTCCAAAGCTCAGCCCATGTTTCTTTTCTCTCAATCGCATTCTCCAATCTTTTCCATGCTCCCTTTCATTTCATCCCCACCGCCTTGCAGGTTCTGGTCTCCTCCACTGCTGCTCGCACTTCCTCCTGAACCAGTGTGACCACTCCCACCAGTCTCCTGTGGTGCAGTCTTGCCTCTACTTCCTGAACAGCTTCCTCTGCCCTCCATTTCCTGCCCGTCTTCACTTGCTGTAGGTGCCAGCTCCTGCCACTTTAGGATCCCTTGAGTCCCTGTACTGCAATACCTCCGTGGCTCGTGTGACCTTGAATTCTTCCTCCAAGGATTTGAAGGGCAGTTGCAGTTTGTTGTTGCGCCCATAGAGAGCTAGGCTGCTCAGACTCTTGGGCAGCCCAAGCCATTTCCTTCGATGGTTGCTGATCCTCCTCTCTAAGGTTTCGACAATTGAGATTGGAACTGCATAGTCGGCCATCCAACTCAGTGCAGGTCGACTGGATAGATATTTTGTCCCTCAGAGAGCTGTCAAAAACCTTGCCTAAGCTTTTGACTGGCTTCTCTGTGATGTGTGGGATGACTGTGCCTTCAATGTTAAACCAGAACTTGTCTTCTTCCTTGCCTATCCTCAGCACCGTGGACCGTGATTTGGCTGGTTTAAATCGCATCTGGTCCCACTTCATCAGTCTTTCGAGCCCCTGCAGAATCCATCGGCAGCCTCGGACTGATTCAGTGGTGACTGTGATGTCATGTGATGGCATCCCCGATATGCCACCCTTCTGGACTGATGTGTCGATGTAGGTGTTCTTGGCCAGGTACGCACAGAGCCGGTTGGAAAGCTGAAGAATATCTTTGCCTCGACACACAAACAGGGAGATGATGCGGAACTGGTCTATCTGGGTGGGGTTATCATCCTTTGGGATCCATACTCCTTCCGCCACTCTCCACTGAACTGGTATCTTCCCCCTTCTTCAGAAAAGTCGCAAGAACTTCCACAGACGCAGCAAGAGTTTTGGACAGTTCTTATACACTTTGTAAGAAGTGCTGTTTGGTCCTGGAGCAGAGCTTGCCCTTGCTTTTGGAACAACCTCTGTGACTTACATAAGATGCATCTCTGACAAACTGAACTGCACCTTCGGGTTCAGGAGGATCTACTGTATGAGGATGTTTCATTCTCCCAGCTCCTGCTCTCTCTCGGGGTCGCTGTATGTCTGCTTAAGATGTTTGTCTATTTCTTCTTGCTTGCATGCCGGTTTTCCACTTCGCTTCTGTCCCAGCAACTCCTTGGTGAAATTTAAGGGGTTGGCAACAAAGACAGCATGTTTTTGGGCCCTTTTTTGTCGTCGCCTAAGATGCCACTCAGCCCGACGGAGGACCTGAATCTTCTTTCAGAGGATGAACGTCAGCTGAGCCAAGCCGATGCGCACCTCTTCTCCCACCTCGCAGGTCACCCTTGAAAAAGAGGTCAATGATCTCAATGGGATACAACCTGAATAAATAAAGGTTTGAAATGAAATGACCTCCTTGAACTGGGACTTCAGTGAATTAAACTCCTTCCTGATTTTCTGGATCCTTACAGCTCGTTGGTTCTTTATGTAAGGTGTTCGAGGGCCCTTTTCCTCATCTCCGAAACGTTCCACTGCGATGCTGACAATGATTGCTGTCATGGCTTTCAGCTTTTGATCTGCCACTCCCTTCCCTGTTGCCTCCAGAATCTGGTCAACATCATTAATAAACTCCTTCCACCGTGAGGTTATGTTTGATGCCGGCCATTTGATCCGTCGCCTCTCAGACTTTGTGCTCAAGGGATTAGTGGACAACACTTGGAGGTTCTGAGTACCGTGGGGTGACTTCGGGCCTGGCTCCTCTTGCGTCTCACCAGGTTGGACACCTGTGCGTTGTGCTGCTGTATTAATAATAATACATTCGATTTGTAAAGCACCTTTCATTGCTAACAGCAATCCCAAGGTGCTACAGGAGGCATAATAAAAACAAACAAAAGAAACAAAAGTTTAATCAAAAGCTTTTTTTAAAAGAAAGGTTTTTAGGCCTTTCTTGAAGGTGTCAGTGGTCTGTGGAGTTCTCAGGTGGTCTGGGAGGGAATTCCACAGGTGAGGAGCAGCTGCACAGAAAGCTCGATCCCTCATTGTGCAGAGTTTGGTCCTCGGGGGGCGAAGCCGATGGTTGGTTGTGGAGCGGAGGTTGCGTGTGGAGGTTTGTGATGTGAGAAGTTCCTTCAGGTATGGAGGAGCGTTCCCGTGGATGCATTGATGGGTCAGTAGTGCGATCTTGTATTCGATCCTGAATGAGACAGGAAGCCAGTGGAAGGAATGAAGAACGGGTGTGATGTGGTTGTATTTTCTCACCCTCATCAGGATCCTAGCGGCACTGTTCTGTACATATTGGAGCTTCTGAAGGCTCCCGCTAGGAGTCCCGATGAGGAGAGCGTTGCAGTAATCGAGCCTTGAGGAGACGAAGGCATGGACCAGTTGTTCAGCATCTGACAGGGAGAGTGTGGGACGGAGTTTTGCAATGTTCCTGAGGTGGTAGAAGGAGGTTTTACACAGGTGTTTGATGTGGATGTCAAAGATCAGATGTCTGTCAAATCTTACACCGAGGTTGGTAACTGCTGTAGAGAGGGGTATGT